TCTCCTCTGTCTCTTCCTGATCCGCCACGCTGCCCTCTTGCACGTTGAGGCGTCGTACGGCAGGTTGACGACCCCAGCGTTGGCTTCTCACACCGCGTGGATCGTTCAGCCTCGAACGAGCGGCGGCCGTTCGATCGCACGATCGTTCCATTGAGCCGATCCTGGGCCACTGGCGGCGTTCAACTTTGAATGCCCGCAGCGGGGGCGCCGACGGTCGACACGACGCGAACCTACCATGGAATACCAAGTGATGCATGGCACGGTTTCTGCAATCGTCTCGCCCCTCTCCCCCCATGTCGATGCTCCATGGGCGCCCCGGAAGCCTCTCTGGCGCTCGCCAAAGCTCCTGGGATGTTCTTTTCTAGACGACCCAACCCGGTTTCCAAGACAGGGATAGACCCAAACAGTGTTATTCGTTTTCGTTTTGTTTTCGTGCTCCCTCGTTTTGTCTTCAATCCGCGTTTGCTGCACAACGAAAACGAAACGCAAACGGTCCACGAAATCGCCAAAACACAGTTTAGGTCGACCCCTGTTCCAAGACGGCCAAGGCAGTACCCCGAGACAGCTCAGGGAGGCCCCTGCGAGACAGCCCAGGGAGGCCCCTGAAAACTTCTCAAGAGGGCGTCAATAAGACCTCCAGGAGTACCCCAAGAGGTCAACAACAGTGCTTTCCCAAGGATTTGATTAGATTTTCGCGTTGTCACCTCTTAGGGCTTCTGTCGGCCCAGAGGTCTGGCCCTCTTCCTCGGGATCAGCTGTCTTTGGCCCCCCAAATGCGTGTGGTGACGGACCGCGTCGTGACTTCAGAATTCCCAACGACCCCATCGCGCGGCCCGTCACCGCACGGTTCCACGACCCGAGGCGCCAATCGCAAGAGAGAGCTCCTCGGAAAACGGCCCGAGCCAGCAAACCTTGCGGTGATCCCGGATCCTGACTCACCACGCGGTGTGGTCACCACACCATTTGGGCCCCCCGCCTTTTCATCTCGCGTCGCTCTCTGGCGGCCGCGGATGGGCGGCTCCAGAGGCCGCACACCGACAGAAGCCCTCCACCGTGACTTCTGCTCGCAGCGCGGGGAGGCCTGGGCTCCAGAAATGGGCACGGAAAGAGTGGGCACGATGCCCAACCACACTTGCCGGCGCGCAGAGGTGGGTAGGAGGAGGGGGGGGAAGCCTTCTTAGGAGGCTGCTTCTTAGAAGGCGCGGGCCTTGTCTGTAGATGTAAGGCCCGCGCCTTCTTAGAAGCGACCCCCTTCTGTAGAGGCCTCCTATATGGGGTCGGAGTAGATTTGGTCAGGGGATCTCGCAGCATCGCCGATATATCGCCGATGCATCGCCGATGCATCGCCGATGCGGCGCGATCCTCCGACCCCAGCTGCTGCGACCCCATCTGGGATGCCCAGATTCTAAGAAGCCTCCTATCCTCCCCCTACCCCCCTCTGCGCGCCGCCAACGCAAGTGTTGGCCAAATTCGGCAGCGGCCGCTGCGTGGCAGGCGGCCATTCTGTCTCGAATGACCAACGTCCGCGGTAGCGCCGACAGCGAATCCTGTACAAAATGGAGAGGCACTGCTGTCAGTCTTCGTATTTATTTTCTCCGTACCAATTTCGATCGTACCGAACTTGACATGGGGGAAACGGGTCCTGAGGGAAACGGGTCCTGCACTCCGGAGCCTTCCCCCAAGACGAGATCTTCACCCCGCATCGTTTTCTCACGGTCCTGGGGCCCGTGGAGAACCCACAACGGCGAACCCGAGGACACGTTCCCCACAATACCCGTTAGGCCTACCATGACATGTTTTTGGAACCCCACCCTTTTTAAATATCAAGAACAAAGTTCTTGGAACATGAAGCCCGATGTGTTTAAACAAAACAGTCTCAGCCAGAAATATTATGATTATAGCCCGGAGTGCAGTATCCCCAAACATGGTTTTCAAACCCACTGCGGTTTCCAAGGTTGATTGCGTGCCCGTCCAGTGCGGTCTGGCATGGCATGTTAAAACATGCCTCCTCCTCCTCCTCCACCTCGTCTTCATCCCGAACGGCATCTCGGAGCCCAGAGTTGCGATGATGTCTCCACCGCAACGGGCTGGACCACCTACCTCGCGCGCGGCATTTCGGACCCCAGAGTTGCGACGATGTCTCGGGCGAAACGTGCTGCGAGGAAGTCTCAAGCGAAACGGGCCGGACCACCTCGAGCGCGGCGTCTCAGAGCTCCGAGTTGCGGGGGCCTCCTGGGGCCTCCTGGGACCTCCTGGTGACCTCCTTGGGCTTCCTCCTGGGTCTCCTGTGGCCTCCTAGACCCCACCTGGGGCTTCCTGAAGCCTCTTGGGGCTCCCAGCGGGGGATATCTAACATGTGGCCGTCGGGGCCCTCCAAAATGGGGGGGGGGGGCCACAAGAGCAGGAAAAATCAACTAATCGACACCGGATGTGTATTAACTTGACACGTTCTGATAGGGGGCCTCCTGGGGCCTCCTGGGAGCCTCCTGGAAATCTCCTGGGGACCCCTGGGGCCTGTCCTGGGCGTCCTGCGGCCTCCTGAAGCTCTCTGGGGCCTCCTGGGGCTCCCAGTGTCCCAGGGAGGATATGTAACGTGTGGTCTTCTGGGCCGCCAGGCTGGACCACCTCTTGCGCAGCATCTGAGAGCTCAGAGTTGCGAGCATGTCTTGTGCGAAACGGGCCGGACCACCTTGCGCACGGCATCTCGGAGCCCAGAGTTGCGAGGATGTCTCAGGCGAGATGGGCTGGACCACCTCGCGCAGGGCATCTCCGAGCCCAGAGTTGCGAGGATGTCTCCAGCGTAACGGTCTGGACCACCTCGCGCGCGGCATTTCGTGCCTCAGAGTTGCGACGATGTCTCGGGCGAAACGTGCTGCGAGGAAGTCTCAGGCGAAACGGGCCGGACCACCTCGACGCGGCGTCTCAGAGCTCCGAGTTGCGGGAGCCGCCTGGGGCCTCCTGGGACCTCCTGGTGACCTCCTGGGGCTTCCTCCTGGGTCTCCTGTGGCCTCGTGGACCCCACCTGGGGCTTCCTGAAGCCTCTTGGGGCTCCCAGGGGGGATATCTAACATGTGGCCGTCGGGGCCCTCCAAAATGGGGGGGGGCCACAAGAGCAGGAAAAATCAACGAATCGACACCGGATGTGTATCAACTTGACACGTTCTGATAGGGGGCTTCCTGGGGCCTCCTGGGAGCCTCCTGGGAATCTCCTGGGGACCCCTGGGGCCTGTCCTGGGCGTCCTGCGGCCTCCTGAAGCTCTCTGGGGCCTCCTGGGGCTCCCAGTGTCCCAGGGGGGATATGTAACATGTGGTCTTCTGGGCCCCCAGGCTGGACCACCTCTTGCGCGGCATCTGGGAGCTCGGAGTTGCGAGAATGTCTTGTGCGAAACGGGCCGGACCACCTTGCGCACGGCATCTCAGAGCTCAGAGTTGCGAGGATGTCTCAGGCGAGACGGGCCGGACCACCTCGCGCAGGGCATCTCCGAGCCCAGAGTTGCGACGATGTCTCGGGCGAAACGTGCTGCGAGGAAGTCTCAAGCGAAACGGGCCGGACCACCTCGAGCGCGGCGTCTCAGAGCTCCGAGTTGCGGGGGCCTCCTGGGGCCTCCTGGGACCTCCTGGTGACCTCCTGGGGCTTCCTCCTGGGCCTCCTAGGCCTCCTGAACTCCATCTGGGGTTTCCTGAAGCCTCTTGGGGCACCCAGGGGAGATATCTAACATGTGGCCGTCGGGGCCCTCCAAAATGGGGGGGGGGGGGGGGCACAAGAGCAGGAAAAATCAACGAATCGACACCGGACGTGTATTAACTCGACACGTTCTGATAGGGGGCCTCCTGGGGCCTCCTGGGAGCCTCCTGGGAATCTCCTGGGGACCCCTGGGGCCTGTCCTGGGCGTCCTGCGGCCTCCTGAAGCTCTCTGGGGCCTCCTGGGGCTCCCAGGGAGGATATGTAACGCCCCCAGGCTGGACCGCCTCTTGCGCGGCATCTGGGAGCCCAGAGTTGCGAGCATGTCTTGTGCGAAACAGGCCAGACCACCTTGCGCACGGCATCTCAGAGCCTAATTAGAGTTGCGAGGATGTCTCAGGCGAGACGGGCCGGACCACCTCGCGCAGGGCATCTCAGAGCTCAGAAGTTTGAGGATGTCTCAGGCGGGCTCCCAGGGTCCCAGGGAGGATATGTAACATGTGGTCTTCTGGGCTCCCAGGCTGGACCACCTCTTGCGCGGCATCTGGGAGCTCAGAGTTGCGAGAATGTCTTGTGCGAAACAGGCCCGACCACCTTGCGCACGGCATCTCAGAGCTCAGAGTTGCGAGGATGTCTCAGGCAAGACGGGCTGGACCACCTCGCGCAGGGCATCTCGAAGCCCAGAGTTGCGAGGATGTCTCAGGCGAAACGGGCCGGACCACCTCTCGCGCGGCATCTCCGAGGTCAGAGTTTTGAGGATGTCTCAGGCGAAACGGGCCGGACCACCTCGCGCAAGGCATCTCAAAGCTCAGAGTTTCGAGGATGTCTCATGCGAATCGGCCCGGACCACCTCTCGCACGGCACCTCGGGGCTCAGAGTTTCGAGGATGTCTCAAGCGAAACGACCCGGACCACCTCTCGCGCGGCGTCCCGGAACGCAACTTTTCGAGGACGTCTCAGGCGAAACGGCCATTCCCGGCCAACTCAGAAACGAGAGTTGTGAGGATGTCTGAAGCGAAACGGTCCAGACCATCAAATTTTTGTGAGGATGTCTTTGCTCCGACTTCCCTCGGCCGGAGTTAGCTTCTATCACAACAGCACCCCGTTCAGCAAGCTGTTTGGGGAATAACATTTCGTGCAAACCACGACCGGTTCTTAGAACTTGTTCTGGTGGGCCTTTAGGAAAGCCAGGACGCTTCGCTACTGCTCGACGTCTCCCCCATGGCGATGAACCCCAGACGCGCCCCCGCCGGCCAGCTCCGCCGCCCCCCGAGCCCGCGGGGTGTAACCCGCCCAGGACCGCGCCCCCCGCCGTCCACCACGAGGCCGCGCAGCAGCTCCGCGGGGCGCATGCTGGCAAAGGCGCCCTGATGGTGGCGGTTGGCGGGCGGCAAGGGCTCAGATGGGGCGGGGGCTCCTCCCCCACCTCCTCGTCCCGCCATCCTCCTCCCTCCACCTTCCCCCCCTCCCTCTCCTCCCCCCTCCTCCTCTCTCCTCCTCCTCCTCCTCCTCCTCCTCCTCCTCCTCTCTCCTCTCCTCTCTCTCCTCCTCCTCCTCCTCCTCCTCCTCCTCCTCCTCCTCCTCCTCCTCCTCCTCCTCCTCCTCCTCCTCTCCTTCTCCTTATACATAACCTCTCCCTGTCGCACCCCGAGGCAAGTTTTTAGGGCGGGCCTGGCGTTTCGCCTGAGACTTCCTCACCACTTATGACCCTAAAGCTTAAACATTGGCAACAGTTTCACAGATGGATGGCGGATCTTTTTCAAAATGTGGCTGCCGCCTTAGCGCGGCGCACACTCGTCTTAAACAATTGCAAGCGTTTCACGGATTGAGGACGGGCGGTTTTCAAAATGTTGCTCTCGCCTTAGCGCGGCGTGCGTTTGTTTTAACGATTTGCAAGAATTGCACGGGTTGAAGGCGGGTGGTTTTCAACATGTGGCTCTCGCCTTAGCGCGGCGTGCGTTCGATTAAACAAGTCGGAAGAGATTCACGTATTGAGGGCGGTTCCCTTTCAACATGTGGTTCTCGCTTAAGCGCGATTCACATTCGTTTGGACAATTTGCACGAGTTCCACGGCTTCCCATCATCAACGTGCCAAAGATGATGTTTTGAAAGGGTTCAGGATTATGCGGGTGCAACAGGTATGTTGATTCGCTGTGTTGAAGTCCCAGGAATGGCGTCCTGGCACGATTCAGGATTGTCAAGACGCAGCCGTCAGGTTGATGCGTGGCGGTGGAATTCCCGAGAACAATGTTTTGGCATGCTTCAGGGTCTTCAAACAAATGTCTTCCAAACAGGTAGCTCCTGCAATGGACATGAACCGTTGTAGGGGCATATGAAGATGGAGCTTGGAGGGGTGGTTTATTCCAACATCGTTGATGTCTTTTGGGTTTACACTGGTCCTCCTCCTCCTCCTCCTCCTCCTCCTCCCATCCTACTTCCATCCTCCTGCAACCATCCTCCTACCTCCATCCTCCTCGTCCTCCTCGTCCCTCTTCCTCCCTCCATGCCCCTCCATTTCCTCCTCCTTCCTCCTCCCCTCCTCCTCCTCCTCCTCCTCCTCTCCTCCTCTCCTCCTGTCCTCTCCTCTCATCTTCTTTCCTATCCATTCGTTCTCCTCATGGATCGCTGCTCCTCGCTGTCGCACCCCGGGGCCGGTCGAAAGGGCGGACTGGGCGTTTCGCCTGAAACTTCCCTACCATGTATGACCCTGATGCGTAAACATCGACAATTGGTGGACAGAGGGAGGGCGGGTGGTTATCGACATGTGGTTCTCGCCTTAGCGCCACGCACATTCGATTTAAACATTTGGACGAGTTTTACGGGTTGAGGGTGCGTCCTTTTCAAAACGTGGCACGCGCCGTAGCGCCGCGCACATTCGCCTGAACATTTGCAAGACATTCATGGATTGAGGGCGGGTCGTTTTCAACACGTGGCTCTCGCCTAGGCACCGGGCATATTCATTTTGAAAGATTCGGAAGAGCTTAACGGATTGAGGGCGGTTTCCCTTCAAACTGTGGCACTCGCCTCAACGCCGCGCACATACGTTTCCCAAATTGAAGCGGAGCTTCAAAAACATGCAAGACTTTCACGGGTTAAGGCGGTTCCATTTCAAAATGTGGCTCTCGCCTTATCGCCGCGTGCTTTCATTTTAAGACTTTGCAGAAGTTTCGCGGATTGAGGGCTGCTCGTTTTTAAACTGTGGTTCTCGCCTTAGCGCCGCGCTCATTCGTTTAAGACTTTGCAGATAAATTCACGCATCGGAACGGGCAGTTTTCAACATGTGGCTCCTCCCTTAGCGCCACTCACAATTATTCCACAGAATTGTAAGCCTTTCACGGGTTGAGGGCGGGCCGTTTTCAAACTGTGTCCTTCGGCGTGGCGCCGCGCACATGCATTTTTAAATATCTGCAAGATTTCAACTGATCCTCACGGTGAACGTGCCACAGCATTGTGTTTTGGAACGGCTCAGGTTTGGCAGGGAGCAAAACTTACGTGGATTCGCTGTGCCGAAGTCCCATGCATGGTGTTCTGGCACGATTCAGGGCCGCCAAGACGTAACTCGTGGCGTTGAAGACCTGAGAATAATATTTTTGCACGCTTCAACATGTTCACACGGTTGTCCCCCAACGGGCCACCTAAGTGGAAATGGCCACTTGTAGGGGCCTGTGAAGAGGGATCTTGGAGGGAGGGTGTTTTTCACCATCGTTGATGAGTCTTGGGTTTGCACTGGTATCCTCTCCTCCTCCTCCTCTTCCTGCTCCTCCCACCCTCCTTTCCTCGTCCTCCCTCCTCAGGGAGGGCACATGCGGAGGGAGGAGGCAGCTGGCAGGAGGCAAGTGGGAAGAGAGATGAGGTTTCAGGGATGGGCGATGTGGAAATGGCCAATAAGGAGGAGAAACGATGTGGAAAAAACGTGACGGAAGAAGGGGAAAAGGGAACATGATGAGGAAGAGAGAGAGGTGGCGGAGAACGTGACAGGAGAGACGAGAACAATGACGATAGGAACAATGAAGCGGATGAGTCGGGCCGCAGCCATTGTGCGAGAAAGAGTAAGTGTTAGAGGGCAAGTGTGCGTCTGTGTGCGTGTTTGCGTGTGCGCGTTTGCATTTGCCTTTGCGTGTGCGTGTGCGTTATGTGTGTGTGCGCGTGTGTGTGTGTGTGTGTGCGTTGTGTGTATGTGTGTGTTGTGTATTGTGTGCGTTGTGTGCTGTGTGTGTTGTGTGTGTGCTGTGTGTGCTGTGTTGTGTGTTGTGTGTGTGTGCTGTGTGTGGTGTGTGTTGCGTGTGTGTGTGTGTGTGTGCGTGTGCGTGTGTGTGTGTATGTGTGTGTGTGTGTGGGTTGTGTATTGTGTTGTGTGTTGTGTGTGTTGTGTTTGTGTGTTGTGTGTTGTGTGTGTTGCTTGTGTGTGTGTGTGTGTTGCGTGCGTTGCGTGTTGTGTGTGTTATGCGTGTTGTGTGTGTGTTGTGTGTGTGTGTGTCGTGTGTGTTGTGCGTGCGTGTGTGTGTGTGTTGTGTGTGTGTTGTGTTGTGTTTGTATGTGTGTGCGCTGTGTGTACTGTGTGTGTACTGTGTGTGTTCTGTGTGTGTGGGTGTGGTGTGTATGTGCATGTTGTGTGTGTTGTGTCTGGTGTGTGTGTTGTGTGTGTGTTGCGTGTGTTGTGTATGTTGTGTGTGTTGTGTTGTGTGTGCTGTGTGTGTGTGTTGTGTGTGCTGTGTGTGTTGTGTGTGTGTGTTGTGTGTGTTGTGTGTGTTGTGTGTGGTGTGTGTATGTGTTTGTGGCGCTCGCTGGGACTTTGTTTCTACACGCAGCAACGTTGACAACGGTCGAATGTTAAGATAACCTACCGGCGACCATTTGTAATGATCCACGCTCGACCCATGCACATGTCACACATAATGCCTTCGGAGACTGGGCCTGCGTCAAAATCAAGCCTTCCGAGAACCGTTACTTACAATCTTCTTTATCCTCCTCCTCCTCCTCCTCGACTTCCCCTGCCCAGCCTGTGCTTGCCTTCCTCCTTTCCGCCTCCCCCTCTCCTCCAGGCGGGGAACTTCGACCTAGTATCGGTGATGCATCGCCGATAGATCGGCGGTAGTCCCCCGATGGCGAAACCGCACGTTCCTGGGCGGGGTGGGCTATCGGGCCCCTACCAGCGATGCGTAGTCGGCTGGGGGTCGATACGCCCGCCCCTTAGCCTATCCACCCCCCTGCCCATTGTTCGGAAGAAGTGGGCAGAAACGTGAAGGAAAGCGTTCGCACCATATTGGCCCTACGCCATGGGCAACCACCCGACTCTGGAAACAAGAGAGCGCCTAAAAGTAGATTAGACACTGGGAGTGCAGAGGCACATACTTTCAAAGAGCGATGGCAGAAGACGAAACAAGCATAACACAGAAACTTTTGGCGCTGCGCACGGATTTCTTGGATTCGCGCTGGACCCCCCTCCCTGGAGCGCGGTGCGCGCCAGGGGCGGCGCCGGAGGGGGCCCAGCGCGGATCCAAGAAATCCGCGCGGAGCGCCAGCAGTTTATGTCTATGGCGTTTTTCTTCCTCGATCAAAAGAGCGATGGGCACGTCCCACCAGCCCTTTGGGCGTCGGTGGTCAAATGAGTTATGCCTTTTCTCTTCCAAAACCCTCTTCCTTCGAGGAGGGGTACCTTCCCCCTAACCCTCCCTGAGCTTTTGTCTTCGTTGGGGGGGGGGCGCGAGGGGCTAGAGCGTCCAAGATGGCCCAAGATGACTCCAAGAGGCCCTCCGATGCTCCAAGATTGCCTCCAAAGCGAGCTCAAGATAGCGAAACCTGGCTGACTATAGATTCCAACATATCTCCAAGAGGCCCGACGAGGGCCACAAAACGGTTCCACGTGCAGGACCCCCCCAAGATGCCAACATTCTTCAACCCGATATCGGCCAAAGAGCAACCCAAGGGCGATTTCGATGGTCCCAGGGGGGAGGCAAATTTAGGACCCCCCCCCCTCCCCTCCTTTGATCGGTGGCCTTCAGGCTTAGCCTTAAGAGGCCCTCCAGGGCTCCCAAGAGGGTGCCAAGAACGCCCAAGAGCGCCCCAAGAGCCACCCACGAGGACTCCAAGAGGCGGTTTGCCTCCTCCTCCTTCTCCTCCATTCCTTTTCCTTGTAAATCAATTCTCCCTGTCACACTGCCCCAGAGTCCTCTTTGGCGGAGAGGCCCGCCTTCTCAATCGGCTTTTGGTTGCGCTGCCACCCACGGCGACAGCGCAACCCCAAACCGACTGAACCGACAGACATGATGGGCCTGTTTTCCACCACCACCACCACCATAAGTTGGAGGGGGAGGGGGTCCTCCTCCTCCTCCTCCTCCTCCTCCTCCTTTTCGTCCTCCTCCTCCTCTTCGTCCTCCTCCTCATCTTCGTCCTCCTCCTCCTCCTCCTCGGCCTCCACCTCCTTCCCCCCTCCAACTTATGGTGGTGGTGGTGGTGGTGGAAAACAAGCCCATCACAGACACCGACAAGGCCGCCAGCGGCGTTGAGCGGCGCAGCGACAACACAGCAGCCGACTGACTCGAACCGACCGAACGCCACCGATTGCGGCGCATAACCCTTGGAAGCAAACAATACCCCCCCGACCCACAATCCGCCGACCCTGTCGGCGTGTGTGAGCCGTGCTTCTGTGAGTTGCTTTTGTCGCCGCTCCCCATGTCCCTGGGCCCTCCTCCTCAAGCGATCCAGCCAGGCTTCGGTCGGGCATGTCCCCCTACAGGCGGATTTAGGACGAAACATGAACAATACCTTAACAGATACCCACACATCGTTAACAAATGATCAAAACATAGTCCCCAAACTAAGTTTACCATCTTTGAATATTCCTCCTGTGGAGGGACACGCCCGACTTAAAGCCCGACGAAACTCGAACAATGTCGCAATTGGTTCGGCGAGCCCTGGAGAAGGTCGCGCAGGAATGGTCGCTGGATGGGGGGTCCGCTCTGCACATGGGGGGACAGGGGGTGCGGGGGCGAGCAAACATGGATCAGGGGAGGTGCCCTCTCCGAAATGCAGCTGGTGCCGCCCAGTTCGGCGGCGGAAATCCGCGATTACCCATGGAAACGAGCCCGTCGCTAATCAACGCCCCCTTGATCCATGTTTGCGATCGCCTGAGAGGTGGTCCCCGTGGACCAGGGGAACTCAGGACCCCTCCCACCGCCCCCCGCCGCCCCCCCCTGTGGACAAGGCGACCCCCCACCCCTTCCTCCTGGACCCCCCCCCTCCCCTCGGCCCCCGCCTCCCCCTGTGGACAAGGCGACCCCCCCCCTCGTGGACCCCCCCCCCCAGAGGGGCACCCTCCTCGTGTTATCTGCTCTTTGCGGGGTGCTGAGTATGTTTCAATATGCCTCCAAGAGGCCTCAGATCCGCTCCGAGGCAGAAGAAGTCTCTCAAGAGGCTCCCCAACAGAGCCCAAGAGGCTCCAGCCCCAAGAAGGGCTCCAGAGCCTCCATAGCCTCAGCGTCGTCGCCGGCCTTGTGTTTCCCCCTTGAAGGTCGGCGGCATCGGCCGTAAGACCTTCTCAATGAAATAAATCATTTGTTCGGCGCCACCCCCTCCGGCTATGTCGTTAGCAAAGCAATCAATGCAATCAACAGTTTCGCCGCTCGCCTGGGACCTGGCACATCGAGGAACGTCGAACAACTATGTGTTTTTTTGCTGGCAATAGAACAGCCGAATCTCATGGCACTAGCCCTACACTGACTGCAACGCGCGTGAACTTCGGCGGACAAACTGAGAAAACACACATCAATAAACCACAACCCCTCAGAACGTGGTGTCACGGAATGTTCGACTTCGTCTGGATGGCCAGAATGACCATCATATTTGTGAGCTTCATGAGTCTCCCCTGGAGAAACCAATGGAACACTCTGGAGACCTCTGGGGACCTCTAGGGGATGAGTGAGAGAGAGAGGGGGAGAGTGAGGATGAGGATGAGGATGAGGAGGAGGAGAAGGAAGAGAAGGAGGAGGAGGAGGAGGACATCGCTTCCGCCCTGGCCCTTGTGGCGGAAGCGCTGTACCTTTTCAAGGTGTGTGTGTGTGTGCGGGGGGTACGGATGCCTTCTCATGGGTCTAGGGGGCGACGTCCGAACCCTGCCACCAGCCAAAGATCCTCCTGACTCTATTGGAGGCGGGGGCGTCGGGGGCGCGCAAACATGGATTAGCGATCCATGGATTTTGCGCTCGGTCGCCAAATCCATGGATCGGGGGAGGTGCCCTCCCAAAGTGCGGCCGGTGCCGCCCAGTTCGGCGGCGGAAATCCGCGATTACCCATGGAAACGGGACCCGTCGCTAATCCACGCCCCCTTGATCCATGTTTGCGATCGCCTGAGGGTGAGGCTCAGGTTTCGCCACGCGTTCACTTGATCACGCTCCCCCCGCCGCCCATCGGGTTGCCTACACTGTTGGTCGGCGAGAATGGGGGAACGACAGCTGGCACCCACACAAACTTCAGGCGGTCCGCGCGGATTTCTTGGATCCGCGCTGGACCCCCCTTCCTGGCGCGCGGAGCGAGCCAGGGGCGGCGCCAGAGGCTGCACCAGGGGGGCCCCAGCGCCGACCCAAAAATCCGCGCGGAGCTCCGAAAGTTAAATGTTAATGCAGCTTTTTTTGTCGAGGGGGAAGGGTTCTGGACCAGAAAACAAACGACACCACCCCACCTGTGGCGCCAAGGGACTTAGCGTATACAAGGATATCTGGCGTGGGCTTTTGCGCGGCATGCGCTGCGGCCCCAGCTGGGCCGTAGCGCGACATGGAGTGCTGTAGTGTGGGGTTGTGTTAGGTCGGGCATGTCCCCCCGCAGGCGGATTTGGGGACGAAGCATAAAAAACAGTCAAACAGATTCAAACACATAGTGAACAAAAAGGTAGAAACATCGTCCCCAGACTATTTCTTACCCCTGAATACTCCTCCCTGTAATTAGAGGGACAGACCGGCCGTAACTGGCCGAGGCTCGGACTGTGGGACAAACTGTCGCTCCCCTATCAAGCAACGCCCGACTCAGGGCCGCCGTTTCGTCCCGAATCTTTCGCCGTCCTCGCCCTCGTCGTCGTCGTCGTCGTCGCCGTCGCCGCCGTCGTCGTCGTCGTCGTCGTCGTCGTTGCCGCCGTCGCCGTCGTCCTCGCCGTCTGTGGGGCTCTGTGTCGCTTGTCTTCTGGCCGAGGCTCGGACTCCGCCGCCGACCCGCACGCGGCCGGCCCGAGGAGGCCCTCCAGAGCCACCCGCTTTTGCTCCGGCAGGTGTCCCTGCTCGCCCTTCGTTTCACTGACTACCTACCAGAGCACCCCAACCCAACCCGAAGGCCCGAATTTGACCCGAATTTCGGGTGGGGGGGGGGGTACGGATACCATGTGTTTTTTCAACGTTCCCCGAAGCCCCCCCCCACTGGAAGTCGAGGATAAATTTGGGCCTTCGGGTTGGGTTGGGGTGGTTTGGTGGGTGGTGATTCACTGCGTGGAGCCGCTCGAGCCTCGGACCCCCCGCGGGACCCCCGCCGCGCAGCGAGGCGGCGCGCCCGCGCAGGGCCGCGGGGCGCCTGGCGAAGGTCCAGCGCCAGCCTCTGCAGCGCCGCGTCGCGCAGGTTCCTGTCTCTCCGCGGCCCCGCTTCCTCGTCCTCCCTCCTCCTCCCTCCTCCTCCCTCCTCATCCCTCCTCCTCCTCCTCCTCCTCCTCCTCCTATCCCTCCTCTGCCCTCCTCCTCCCTCCTCCTCCCTCCTCCTCCCTCCTCCTCCCTCCTCCTCCTCCTCCTCCTCCTCCTCCTGCTCCTGCTCCTGCTCCTCCTGCTCCTCCTCCTGCTCCTCCTCCTCTTCCTCCTCCCTCCTCCCTCCTCCAGTCGGGGGAGGGGGGCGCCCAGACATTTAGCCCGGCCGCGCCTCAGCCACAGGAGACTTTCCTCTCGCCCGCCCACGCAGCTTCGCCTCGCCCGCACGCACGGCAAGCGAACACGAAACCGAAACCGATTTCCCGGTTGGGGGGCTCTCCGTCCCACTTCGATCTCACCCCCTCACCTTCGATTTGTTGGACCATTTTCGAATATTCCTCCTGTTGAGGGACACGCCCGACTCAACCCTACTCCCCCTCTGCGCGTGGCCGACTTGTCCTTAGGCAGGCCGCTGGAGAGCTCGCCCGGGGCGTCCGTGGAGCGGGGGTGACGCCGCCCCCCCGCCGGCGCACGCGCTCCCGCAGCCCTGCACAGAGAGAGGAGCACAGCGGAGGGGGACCATACTTTGGCGGCGAGCGAGGGGGGGAACTGAGAAGGAGAGGGCCTTCTCAGAAGGCGGCGGGACTTCTCAGAAGCCCTCGCGCCTTCTGAAAGGTTTCTTGTGTCTTCGGGGAAGGCTTAGAAAACGTTTCAAAAGGCCGGGGACTTCCGAACCTTCTCAGAAAGCCTTCTCCTTCTCACTTGCCCCCCCGGGCTTGCCGCCGCATCATCCCCTCAAGTGGGTCCGAGCCAAACCGTGATGATCCCCTTCGGTGGGTCCCCGCGGCGTCGGCGCGCGCCAAGGCTTTCGAACCCTCGTCGATCGTTCAACCTTGAAGCGATCGCGGCCACGATCGTTCAAACTTGAATTCCGTCGGGTCCTGTGGCGTTTCACGTCGGTCGGAAGAAATAGGTAAAAGTTATCCAGGCAAAGCAACCTAAGAGCGATGTGTAGGAGCATATCTGGAAGCATTCCCCTCAAGATTCAGATGATAATCCAGGGGTAGAATTCTGCTGTTCTCGCAGTCGTAGTCGCATCCGCGATGACAGTCGCAGTGGCAACGGCAGTCGCAGTCACAGCCTCAACCTCAGCCTGCCTCAGCCTCAGCCTCAGCCTGCCTCAGCCTCCGCCTGCCTCAGCCTCAGCCTCAGCCTGCTTCAGCCTCAGCATCAGCCTGCCTTCAGCCTCGGTCTCAGCCTCAGCCTGCCTCAGCCTCACCCTGCATCAGCCTCAGCCTCAGCCTGCCTCAGCCTCAGCCTCAGCCTCAGCCTGCCTCTGCCTCAGCCTCAGCCTGCTTCAGCCTCAGCCTCAGCCTCAGTCTGCCGTCGGCCTCGGCCTCGGCCTCAGCCTGCTTCAGCCTCAGCCTCAGCCTCAGCCTGCCTCAGCATCAGCCTGCCTCAGCCTCAGCCTCAGCCTCTGCCTCAGCCTCAGCCTCAGCCTCAGCCTGCCTCAGCCTCAGCCTCAGTCTGCCTTCAGCCTCGGCCTCAGCCTCAGCCTGCCTCAGCCTGAGCCTGCCTCAACCTCAGCCTCAGCTTCAGCCTGCCTCAGCCTCAACCTCAGCCTCAGCCTCAGCCTCAGCCTCAGCCTCAGCCTCAGCCTGCCTCTGCCTCAGCCTGCTTCAGCCTCAGCCTCAGTCTGCCTTCAGCCTCGGCCTCAGCCTGCCTCAGCCTCAGCCTCAGCCTGCCTCAGCATCAGCCTTCCTCAGCCTCAGCCTCAGCCTCAGCCTCAGCCTGCCTCTGCCTCAGCCTGCTTCAGCCTCAGCCTGCATGAGCCTCAGCCTCAGCCTCAGCCTGCCTCAGCATCAGTCTGCTTTGGCCTCAGCCTGAGCCTGCTTCAGCCTCAGCCTCAGCCTCAGCCTCGGCCTCAGCCTCAGGCTGCCTCAGCCTCAGCCTCAGCCTCAGCCTCAGCCTCAGCCTCAGCCTCAGCCTCAGCCTCAGCCTCAGGCCTCAGCCTCAGCCTGCCTCAGCCTCAGCCTGCATCAGCTCAGCCTCAGCCTCAGCCTGCCTCAGCTCAGCCTGCCTCAGCCTCAGCCTCAGCCTGCCTCAGCCTCAGCCTCAGCCTCAGCCTGCTCAGCCTCCTCAGCTGCCTCAGCCTCAGCCTGCCTCAGCCTCAGCCTCAGCCTCAGCCTCAGCCTCAGCCTGCCTCAGCCTCACTCAGCCTGCTTCAGCCTCAGCCTCAGTCTGCCTTCAGCCTCAGCCTCAGCCTCAGCCTCAGCCTGCCTCAGCCTCAGCCTCAGCCTGCCTCAGCATTCAAAATCATGCCCAGGAATGGAGTTCTGGGAACTCGAAGAACACGAAGTGGCCTACAGTTGGCTCCGGGCATTCAGAATCATGCCCAGGAAGGGAGTTCTGGGAACTCGAAGACCACGAAGTGGCCTACAGTTGGCTCCGGGCATTCAAAATCATGCCCAGGAGTGGAGTTCTGGGAGCTCGAAGACCACGAAGTGGCCTACAGTTGGCTCGGGGCATTCAAAATCATGCCCACGAGTGGAGGTCTGGGAACTCGAAGACCACGAAGTGCGTTACTGTTGGCTAAAAAGGAATCCCCGGATTCCCGCGGCAGCCCCCGGATTCCCGCGGCACCCGTCCGGCATCTGCCCAGACCCCCCTGGGGAGTCATGATGCTCTCTTTTGAGACCACTAGAAACCTATCAGTCTTCGCTGTTAGGTCCATGCCCTCGCCGAGAATAACACAACGCAGCAAAAGCATATCGATTCTTGCAGCAGGACGGCGCTTGCAGCAAATCGGCACCTTGGAATCCACGACGCGCCTGCTCTCAACGGCAAGCGTGCACCGTGCCCCTCGGTGCTCCCTGCGCCGTCCTCCCGTGCGGTGCTCCCGCGCGCCCCCCAGTGCCGCAAGGGCGCACGGGTCAACCTTGAACGCCTTCGCCAGCGTCGCCGGCGCGCCAGCGCAGCACGAACCTATCGCAGAGCGTTTAGGTTTGGGTCGGGCCTGTCGCCCTACAAGGGGGTTTTGGGCGAGAAATGAAAAATACTCAATTCTCCGGGCGAAGGACCCAACCTTATGCAGTTGTGGGTACCGCAATTGTGAACATCTTCTTCGGTGAAACTCCCTATGGGGCCACGAAGCGCTGCACTGGGTGGGGGGGAACGCTGTTCTGGGTGAAAGGTGTGTCAAGTAAGGTTTCCAGGGCGCATGTGGACGGTCCCACTGGGGGCTTTGGTGGAGCTCCCTATGGGGCCACCAAACGCTGTTCTGGGTAAATGAAAATGCCACATTGGGCTTCCGGGACGCATGCGGACGGCCCCACTGGAGGCTTCGGTGGAACTCCCTATGGGGCCACGAAGCGCTGCGCTGGGTGGGTGAAAATGAAAAATTGGGCTTCCGGGACGCATGCGGACGGTCCCACTGGGGGCTTCGGTGGAGCTCACTTAAGGGGCCACGAAACGTTGTATTGGGTGGGTAAGAATGCCACGGTGGGTTTTCGGGACGCATGCGGACGGTAGCACTGGGGCCTTCGGTGGAGTTCCCTACGGGGCCACGAAATTCTGGACGGGGTGTGTGGAAATGCCACAGTGGGTGTTTCGGGACGCTTGCGGACGGTCCCACTGGGGCATTTGGTGGAGCTCCCTGTGGGGCTACGAAACGCTGCATTGGGTGGGTGAAAATGCCACATTGTGTGGACGGTGGCACTGGGGCCTTCGGTGGAGCTCCCTATGGGGCCACGAAGCGCTGTACTGAGAGGGGGGAACGCATGTGGATGGTGGCACTGGGACCTTCGGTGGAGCTCCCTATGGGGCCACGAAGCGCTGTACTGAGTGGGGGGGACGCATGTGGACGGTGGCACTGGGGCCTTCGGTGGAGCTCCGTATGGGGCCACGAAACGTGTGAGGGGTGTGCCGAAATCGGTGTGGGGGACGCATGTGGACGGTGGCACTGGGGCCTTCGGTGGAGCTCCCTATGGGGCCACGAACGCTGTACGGGGTGGGTGAAAGGAGAGGAGGAGGAGGAGGAGGAGGAGGAGGAGGAGGAAGAGGAGGGAGGAGGAGGAGGAGGAGGAGAGGAGGAGGAACGCGGGGACCGTCTCTTCAAAATTATCCTGGCGAAGGACCCAACCATATGCAGTTGTGGGTGCCGCAATTGTGAAAATCTTCTTCGGTGAAACTCCCTATGGGGCCACGAAGCGCTGCACTGGGTGGGGGGGAACGCTGTTCTGGGTGAGTGGTGTGTCAAGTAAGGTTTCCGGGACGCATGCGGACGGTCCCACTGGGGGCTTCGGTGGAGCTCCCTATGGGACCACGAAGCGCTGTACTGGGTAAGTGAAGAAAGCCACATTGGGTTTCCGGGACGCATGCGGACGGTCCCACTGGAGGCTTCGGTGGAACTCCCTATGGGGCCACGAAACGCTGTGCTGGGTGGGTGAAAATGCCAAATTGGGCTTCCGGGACGCATGCGGACGGTCCCACTGGGGGCTTCGGTGGAGCTCACTAAGGGGCCACGAAACGTTGTATTGGGTGGGTAAAAATGCCACGGTGGGTTTTCGGGACGCATGCGGACGGTGGCACTGGGGCCTTCGGTGGAGTTCCCTACGGGGCCACGAAATTCTGGACGGGGTGGGTGGAAATGCCACGATGGGTGCTTCGGGACGCTTGCGGACGGTCCCACTGAGGCCTTCGGTGGAGCTCCCTGTGGGGCAGGAAACGCTGCACTGGGCGAGTGAAAATGCAACATTGGGTGTGCGGGACGCATGCGGACGGTGGCACTGCGGCCTTAGGTGGAGCTCCCTATGGGGCCACGACACGCTGAATTGGGTGGGAGAAAATGCTAAGTTGTGTGTTTCAGGACGCACTCGGACGGTCCCACTGGGGCCTTCGGTGGAGCTCCCTATGTGGCCACCAAATGCTGTACTAACTGGGGTGGACGCATGTGGACGGTAGCACTGGGGCCTTCGGTGGAGCTCCCTATGGGGCCACAAGCGCTGTACTGAGTGTGGGGGACGCATGTGAACGGTGGCACTGGGGCCTTCGGTGGAGCTCCCTGTGGGGCCACGAAACGTTGTACTGAGTGGGGGGGACGCATGTGGACGGTGGCACTGGGGCCTTCGGTGGAGCTCCCTATGGGGCCACGAAGCGCTGTACTGAGTGGGGGGGACGCATGTGGACGGTGGCACTGGGGCCTTCGGTGGAGCTCCCTATGGGGCCACGAAACGCTGTACTGAGTGGGGGGACGCATGTGGACGGTGGCACTGGGGCCTTCGGTGGAGCTCCCTATGGGGCCACGAAGCGCTGTACTGAGTGGGGGGGACGCATGTGGACGGTGGCACTGGGGCCTTCGGTGGAGCTCCCTATGGGGCCACGAAGCGCTGTACTGAGTGGGGGGGACGCATGTGGACGGTGGCACTGGGGCCTTCGGTGGAGCTCCCTATGGGGCCACGAAGCGCTGTACTGAGTGGGGGGGACGCATGTGGACGGTACGGTGTGCTGTGAGTGGGGGGGGCCGGTGGGGGCGGGTGGCCCGCCGGTGGGGGCCTTCGGTCCCTGTGGGGCCACGAAGCGCTGTACTGAGTGGGGGGGACGCATGTGGAAGGTGGCACTGGGGCCTTCGGTGGAGCTCCCTGTGGGGCCACGAAGCGCTATACTGAGTGGGGGGGACGCATGTGGACGGTGGCACTGGGGCCTTCGGTGGAGATCCCTATGGGGCCACGAAGCGCTGTACTGAGAAGGGGGACGCATGTGGACGGTGGCACTGGGGCCTTCGGTGGAGCTCCCTGTGGGGCCACGAAGCGCTGTACTGAGTGTGGGGGACGCATGTGGACTGTGGCACTGGGGCCTTTGGTGGAGCTCCCTATGGGGCCACGAAGCGCTGTACTGAGTGGGGGAGACGAATGTGGACGGTGGCACTGGGGCCCTCGGTGGAGCTCCCTATGGGGCCACGAAGCGCTGTACTGAGTGGGGGGGACGCAGGGGAGAGGGGGAGGAGGGAGGAGGAGGTAGGAGGGGGAGGAGGAGAGGAGAGGAGGAGGAGGAGGAGAACGCGGGGACCGTCTCTTCAAAACGAGGACCCAACAACACAGGTTGGTTGGGAACGAGGACCCAACAACACAGGTTGGTTGGGAGAAATCCCCCAGAATAGTCAGAAAATGCACCAACATCGTCCCCATACTATGTTCTGACTATTTCTTCCCCCTGTAGAGGGACAAGCCCGACGTAAGTTTAGGTCCAGCCCTGGCGGAAAAGCGGGACGTCCTTCCCCCTGCTGCCCCTCCCCGCTCGGGACTGCCCAAGCCCCCCCTCCCTCTGCCGCCCCTCGCGCCGCGCGCCGCGCGCCCGCCCCCGCCCCCCCCCCCGCCAGGTCTTGGAGAGCACGCACCGCGTGAGGTACCTCGCCCGGGGAGGAGGAGGCAGCCAGGGCGAACGCCGAGGGTGAGGAGGAGGGCCTCCTCCGCCTCCTCCTCCTCCTCCGCCTCCTCCTCCGCCTCCTCCTCCCTCCTCCTCGTGCCTCCTCCTCCTCCTCCTCCTCCTCCTCCTCATCATCGTTGCCTTCCCTGGGGAGGAGATGCAGCCAGGGCGAGCGCTGCGGAACCAATGGGCGGACCACCGCTGCGGACAGCCGCCCAGCTCCGACTATGAGACCAGGTAGGGTTTGCCAGGGCTTCCTGGAATGTGGTGCGTGTAAGAACATATGCATCATGACTGCGAGACAAACAAGACAGTCATGACGGAGGTGGAGGTCCTGGCTGTGGAAAAGAATCGGGGGTGACCTCCTTCTCCACTACCTCATTGTCCCTCCTCGCTCGTAGAGGGCACGCGCTGCGTCAAGTACCTTCCCAGAGGAACGGAACAGCCAAGGAGAACATGTGGTTCAATGTAGATGTTGCAATTTCGGTTATGCAATATTCGTGGTGCAATATATGTTGTGCTACCTATGAGGTGCAATCTATGTGGTGCAATCTATGTTGTGCAACCTATGTGATGCAATCTATGTGGTGCAATTCACGTTGACCGTCTTGAAGCTGTCCTCTCCACTGCTCGTGCAAACATCCCACCCTCCCACCCGCAACTTGGTCGCAAGACCTTTTCAGACAAGAGCGGGACGGTATGTACCACATGGCACTTGGCCACGAGACCGACGCCGACGACAACAACGACGACGACGGCGCCGCCGACACGGACTACGACGACACCGACGACGTCTCCAACGACTTCGACGACGACAACGATGACGATACCGACGACACCAACGACGACGACGACGCCGACGACGACGGCGGCGACGACGACGACGCCGACGTCGACGAAGACGACGACGCCGACGACGAAGACGACGACGACGTCGCCAACAAAGACGACGACGAGGGAGGAGGGAGGACGACGACGGCGACAACGACAACAACGACGAGGGAGGAGGGAGGACGGCGACGACGCGAACGACGAAAATGGAGTAAGGACGGCGACGCCGACGATGACAACGACAAGGGAGGAGGGAAGACGACGACGACGACAACGACGATACTACGACGACGACGGCGACGAAATAGGAGGGACGACGACGAGACGCCGACGACGGACGACGACGACGACGACGAGGGAGGAGGAGGAAAGACGACCACAGCGACAACGACGACGGAAACGACCACGACGCCAAAGAGAACGACGACGAACACGAGGACAGACGGAGGACGACGTAGACGACGACAACGACGCGAGAGGACGGAGGACGGCGACGACGACGACGACGACGCAAGAGCGCGCGCGCACGCTTTTGTTCAAAATCTGGGTTGCCAAACCTTGTGCTTTTGTATGTTTTTTTTTTGAACACACGATGTTGAAATCCTTCCGAAGCCGATGGGTTCGGAAGGATTTCGGCATACGCGCGCGACGACGCGCGCGTCTGCACTTCGTTCCATTTTTTTGCAGAGGATTCTCGCGACGGCACACGCGCAAGGGCGTTCGACAGATTTCGACATGCGCGCGCGCGAGGCCCGTTTGGTAGCATTGTGTGAACATCTTGGAAAACCTATGGTTTTCTTACGATTTCGCAAGAGCTCGCGCGTAAGCTTTTTTAGCGGATCAAAGTTGAGAAACCCTGTGTTTTTGTAGTTTTTTTGGGAAACTCGATTACGACATCCTTCCTTCACCGCGAAGGTTTTGGAGGATTTCGGCATGCGAGCGCGACGGCGCGCGCGTGTACACTTCGTCCCATTGTTTGTAAGGAATTCGTGAAACATCTTATGTTAGAACAAAAGATGTCCCCGCGTATCGTTTTTTACAAGGGAACCTCAGGGGGGTCGATACCGGCCCCCTGGGGATAGTGTAAATTCATATTTCGGATGGGTATGTGGTCAGAATCATAAATGATTTACATGCCCGAAAGGCGTACGGATAACGCCGGGGGGGTAGAGTCTATTCTCTTTTTAGAAGCTAGAATTCACTTGTCGAACTTGAAATTGTCAACTCCACTGCTCGCGCAATCATCCCACCCACCCACCCGCAACTTGGTTTGCAAAATCTCTTAAGACCGTGACGGTGGGTACCAAATGGCACTTGGTAACGACAGCGACGCCGACGACGACAGCGACAACGACGACGACGACGCCGCCGACAACGACTACGACGACACCGATGACGTCTCCAACGACTTCGACGACGACGACAACGACGACGACGACACCGACGACGACGACGCCGACGCCGACGACGATGACACCGACGCTGACGATGACGACACCGACGACGACGACAACGACGACACCGACGACGACGACGTCAACGACGCCGCCGACGACGACGACGACGACGGTGGCGACG